ATTTGTCTGATCTTCCAATCAAGCCCTGCTCACGATTTTCTTCTCTCGTTGCAGACCTCGCAGTCGGGCATTATGCATCGCAGTATTCTGGGTCAGCTGCTGCCCGAGGCTATGGTGTGCTTCCTGGAGAACTACAGCGCCGAAAAGTTTGCCGAAATCTTTCTGGGCGAATTCGATACGCCCGAGGTGATTTGGAGCTCAGAGATGCGTCGCTTGCTCATCGAAAAGATTGCCGCACACATTGCCGACTTCACGCCGCGTCTGCGTGGCCATACGATGGCCAGATATCCATACCTGGCCATACCTGTGATCAGCTATCCGCAGCTGGAGAACGAGCTCTTCTGTCACATCTACTATTTGCGGCATTTGTGCGACACCAAAAAGTTTCCCAATTGGCCCATCTCGGATCCCGTACAGCTGCTCAAGCACACGCTGGACGCTTGGCGCAAGGAGGTGGAAAAGAAGCCGCCACAGATGACCATTCAACAGGCCTACCAGGATCTGGGCATTGATCTAACCAAGACGCCCAAGCCCGATGAGTCCATGATACGCAAGAGCTACTACAAGCTGGCGCAAATGTATCATCCGGACAAGAATCCCAATGGCCGCGAGATCTTCGAGAAGGTCAATCAGGCCTATGAGTTTCTGTGCTCGCGCTCCGTCTGGAGCTCCGGCGGCCCCGATCCCAATAACATAGTGCTCATCTTGCGCACACAGAGCATACTCTTCGAGCGCTATGCGGACGGTGAGTGGCAAATATTTCTGATTTCCAATTGTTAGCTAATCCCAATCTTACTCATAACCTGGCAGTCCTGCGTCCCTACAAGTACGCCGGTTATCCGCAGCTCATCAAGACAATACGGCTGGAAACGCGCGATGATGAGCTCTTCTCCAAGGAGGCCCAACTATTGACCGCCGCCTCGGAGCTGTGCTATCACACAGTTCACTGCTCGGCTCTGAATGCCGAGGAGCTGCGCCGCGAGGAAGGCATCGAGGCGCTGCTGGAGGCATATTCGCGTTGCGTTTCCATACTGGGCGTGGACTCCAAGCCGGACTCCCTGCACTACCAGGTCATCTCGAATGTGACGCGCTGCTTTGAGGTCGCCTGCAACTTTGAGAAGTGCAAACAGAAGATAATACAGCTGCCGCAGCTGCTCTCGGATGTCTGCCGTGTGGTCTACTTCAAGCACACGCTCTCGGTTAGCCTGGTGACTAGCCTGGCGGCGAATAACTATGATCTGCAGTGCAATCTGTCGCGCAATGGTGTGCTCTGGTCGCTGCTGCTCTTCATCTTCGAGTATGATTACACGCTGGACGAGAGCGGCGTCGAAGTTAGCGACAAGTCCAACCAACAGCAATTGGCCAACAATCTGGCCAAAATGGCCGTGCTCGGCTGCATAGCTCTGGCTGGCTACGACATGGAGCTGCGCAACAAGCCCATCACAGGCAGCGAATCCAGCTCGCCCGCGTTGGCAGCCAAGCCAGCGCCTGCCATCAAGCCGAAGCCATCGTCATCGTCGTCAACGACCAACTCGGCGTACACACAAAATGCCCAAAATCCGCTGCAGAGCAAACAGCTGGCCATAACCACGGGCAAGGAGAAGGAGACGGCGGTGCTCACCAAGCAGGATTCCAGCGTCAGCAGCGACACATCCAGCTCCACACCCACAGACAGCGACCACCAGCAACAACAGCAGCATCAGCTGCTGGCCCGCCAAAACGCCATACAACAGAAGTACATTGTGACGGGCGAGCCGAAGAATACGCTGATCAAGCAGGTGCTGGACCGCCTGCTGACCCGCTACATTGCCAACCAGCTGGCCAGCGTGCGGGACAGCGAGGTGCTCAAACTGCTGACGGCCAATACGCGCAATCCCTATCTCATCTGGGACAATGGCACGCGCGCACAGCTCAAGGATTTCCTGGAGCAGCAGCGCCTGGCATCCGCCAAAGAGACACACGAGGATATTGCACAAGTCTACGAGCTGGTAGCCGGCTTCGAGTTCGATGCGCACAAGTGGGTTGCCCTAATCCTTATCAAATACTTCTATATATATCAGCTTCTTAATCGTGTTTTACCTTTGCCAGGGATGAGCTGCAAATTGGTGGCATATTCATACGCATTTACAACGACATGCCCACGCATCCCATTGTCCAGCCCAAGCAGTTCATTATGGATCTGCTGGAGTACTTAAAGCATGCCTATAAGTTTCTGCAATACAAGCGGTCGCCAGCCCCAGCCTCAGCCCCAGCCCCAGCACCAGCCGCAGTGCCCAAAATGGGCAGCGATGGCATATTGACGCCCACGCTGGCGCCCAATCATCCCCAGCTGCAGCAGCAGCTACAACAGCAGCAGGAAGGCAAAACTTTCGGCACCTTCGACGAGGTGCTAAATGCCTACAATCGCTCCAAAAGCCGCAAAAAGCTGGAAACGGATGCACAAGCGGAGCAGCAGCTCTCGCTGCAGCAGGCCAAATATGACTATGCCAACGATGGCCAATTGGAGCTGCACATAACCATGGTGCTGCGCGCGCTGATTGCGGTGATCAAGGCGAACGCCGAGGTGGAGATCCAGTGCATTGGCAATTTCGATATGATATTCGGCTTTCTGGCCAATAATATATTCGCTGATGTAAGTGGGAATATGTTAAGTAGAACTTCTCACAGATATCTAACTGTCCTGATCCCTTGCAGAACTCCAGTGTGAAGGCTGTGGCTCTGGAAGTGGTCGCCCTGGTGTCCCGCAACAAGGAATGCGTCTCGGAGGTGGCTGCCTGCGAGATACTTGGCAACTATTTGGTAGCGCTCAAGGATCCCGAGCTGCGCGCCAGCCAGGTCAAGGTGCTGGAGACTCTGTCCGGCCTGATGAACGTCCAGGAGATGATCAAGGAGGCGCAGGCCAAGGGCGCCGTCATCTATTTGCTGGACATGTTCTGCAATTCACGTAATCCGCAAATACGCGAAATGTGCGCCGAAATCTTGGCCAAAATGACAGCGGATCGTCTGAGCGGTCCCAAGGTGCGAATTACCATATCCAAGTTTCTGCCTATGCTATTCATCGATGCCATGATCGAGTCGCCGCCTACGTCTGTGCAGCTCTTTGAGTCCATACATGAGCATCCGGAGCTGATCTGGAACGACAATACGCGCTCGAATGTATGCGACGCGGTCGCCGAGACGTGCAGCAGATTCTATCAGCAGCAAAAGACAAATGCGCGTCACTTATGGAAGGATCCCGACATACTGAAGGACATTGTGTCCAACGAGATTGTTGTCGCCGGCGTCTATTTGCGCCTGTTTGTCAGCAATCCTGCCTGGACCTTGCGCAAGCCCAAACAATTTCTCTCCGATCTCTTGGACTTTGTGGTCGAGCAAATCAGCAAGAGCACAACGGAGCCGGATGCGTTGGACTTGTCGACGACAGCACTGGTTGAGCTGCTGCGCTCCCAGCCCGTTCTGGCCGACGATATACCCGTGCTGGGCCACATACCCAAGCTGTTTAATCTGCTCTCGGTGCAGCCAAAGAACACGCTATCAGTATTACACCAGCTGTCGCTGTCCGAAGTGGGTTCGGCTTAAAGTATCTTTAGACTATTCCTGACTCCAATTCCTACATTCCAGTTCTGTGTGGCGGCCATCTCGCAAACGGAGTGCATTGCGCCGCTGAAGCGATGCATGGAACACAATCGGGATTGCATAGAGAAGTCATGTGAAACGCTGAGTCGTCTCTTCAAGCATCAACATGTAAGCATCCAAGGAATTATAAAACCAAATTGTATTCACTTTCGCTTACCCACACCCGACAGGACTCTTTGATCAGTCAATCGCTTGAGGCGGGTCTTATACCGTTTCTGCTGGGACTACTGGACAGTCGTTTGGAGTTCGTTGACAATGCATCCGCGGTCAAAGCACAAATTGTCGCTGCGCTCAAGGGCATGACACACAATCTGAACTATGGCGATCGTGTCACGCAAATATTGCTCAAGCATCCAGTCTGGGCAGAGTTCAAGGATCAACGCCACGATCTCTTCATAACCGACACCAATATACGCGGCTACTTGACTGGTGGGCATCAAATTATGCATTTTCTATAACTATAGTTGTTGCGCCAGTGTAAAACACTCCGAAAATGGATACGCTGTACTCTTTTCGTTGCTTGGCTCTTAAAATTCCCAACAAGTTAAAGCTTCGAGAGGGGGACAAGGCGCTTGCAATCCTCGTTAACTATGCAGACAACTTGGTTATTGATTTTAGTTAATAACTATATATAATCCTTTGTATGTGGTCTGCTTTCAGGCATTAATCCAACGGCGGGCTACCTCACCGCAGGACCAGCGCAGAGCGTGGAAGTGCTTACCTCACCGCCGCCCATTGATCGCGATGATCCGTCGGCACGTCAGACACTTGATTAGCGTCTGCTCATCTGCCACGGCCAGACTAAAGTTAAGCACAACTTATGAGTGGTTCCGGCTTTCAAAGTGTACATCTTTTGTGTTTACATGGAGGTGTACTGATTTCCTTTATTGTATTAAAAGTTTTGCATATTTTTATACACATTGATGCATTGTGTGTGAAAGGCGGAGGCGTGGCTATCAGAAAACAAACAAATTAACAAATTTGTAACAAAGTCTATGGAAACGTTTAATTTTTTATATTTATATAAATTGTATAAATAGTAATTAGCGAATATACATACATACACACACACACACATATATATACATACATACATACATACATATACACCTTAACTAAAGCATGCATAAAGTGATTAAACATATGTATTATGAATTAAAACGGACTCATTAAAAATGAAACGAAAATGTTCTGAAAATATTTTTTGTAAACTACTTTATATGTGTGTGTAAAAAGTTTATTATTTTAACTTAATTTTATTTAACATCTTAAAAACAATTTTAAGTATCGCACAGTGCTGTACAGCAGTTTAGTATATTTTCCTTTTGGTATTTAACTTTTTACCAGCCGGTCACACTGATTATTGTTGATAAAAACGTAAACAATGTCGCTTGTCGCTGATTATAGCGATTCATCTGAATCTGACGCGGAAAGCAGCAGCAATGAGTCCGAAAAAGAACAAACAAACAATTCAGAAAGGTAATTAAAGAATCTATCAAATTTTAACATGTATTTAGAAGTCGATTAATTGCAGCCCGCCTCCTGCACAGAAACACCCAAAGTTGCCCAGTGCCAGCGCCGCGCTGGACAATGCGGCAGCCAAACGGACTGGCGATGTATTCAGCAATCCATTTCTGGAGGCGGAGCTGCATAAAACGGCTTCCTTGGAGCGGCACGTCAAAATGGTGAACAACGATGCACATTTACAGCTCAAAAATGGCCGCAAAATATGCTGGAATTATAGAAAAGGACGCTGCCGCTTTGGCACCGGCTGCCAGTATGCGCACGACTCGGACTTAAGCGTGGAAGCCATAGCTGGTAATGAGACAAAAGTGGAGACAGTAGCGCCTACATTTACACCGCAATCATCGAGTGGCAGCAATAAACGCAAGCGGCCCGGTCTGAGCGACGGCATAGAACCTGGCAAACGTGTGATGAAATCTTACCAGCAACAACACCTGGCCAGTGGAGCACGTCGTCCGCCCAACTAAGCTCAAATGACGCCGGCGTCTGTGATGCGCAGCAAGCAGCTGCCGTCGCCAATGCCGAAGTTATTATTAAGCACCTTGATCAGCCGCAGCCCGTCGCCGTCGCAGTGGGACTCCTCCGGCAGCTCCAGGACCAAAGTCAGCGTGCAGACCGAGCACCAATAGTCACCCAAGATGGTGCAGTCCTCTTGCGCATCTGCGCTTTTTTGAGTCGAGCCCCCTTCGTTGTCTACATCCCCATCCTCGCCCATGCCGTTGGCTGCGAACAATCACGTAATAGATGTACATATATATATTTAAACATTAAAATAGTCTTGCCTAAGCGAATACTTACTCTCATCGTCCGGGGAGAACGTCGTGTGGCCTATGATAAAAGCTATGTCGTGCTGTACAGCCAGCTTTCGAATAATCATCGCCAGCTCTGTTAGAAATCTGCGGCCCTTGTTGCGTTCATAAGTGCTGCGATATAAGATGTAACAGGCTGTAAGGGAATCAATGAGGACCACTTTTATGCGCGAGATGGCCTCAAATTTGGCATTGGGACTGGCTAGCTGCTCGAGTAGAGCTGCCAGTGCTGCAATCAGAGATTCAGCTGTGGTTGCTTGCACAACATTAATCGCATCCAAAGATCTGTCTATGGCTGCTGCGCTCAGTTGTTGCCTTTCCAACAAAATCTCCTCCAAGCGTTCGCTATCAAAGTCCAAGTTGGTGTCCACAAACAACACCTGCTGCTGCTCTCCATATTTGCAAACGAAATTAACAGCTAGCGTGTGTAACAATTCGGTTTTGCCCACATCATTATCGCCGATGAGCTCCCAAACACGGCCTGGACGAAAGGGTTGTCCAATGGAGTCCAGCAATTTGTCTAAGCTGCAAGTAAATTCGAGCTTAATGGACGTCTAAACAAATCCTACTGCTTTTACCCACTCCTCTATGCCAGTTGAGTAGTTTATGGGCTGCGACTGGTAGAGTGTCTTAAACTTAATTCTGCCCACACATAAATCCAACAGTTCCCGCATAATTTCCTCGGTTTTGTCGCTGGCGAGCGCCAAGATCGCGTGCACATTGTCTGCATCAATAAATTCTTCTGCTGTGCTGATATTTTGCTTTTGCAGCAATTTAATGTGATATTCCGAAAGTTGTTTTCCTGTTTTGGTTGCCAAAAGCAAGGATCGCAGCTCCCTTTTGTCTTCCATTTGTTGAAAGTCTGCTCAACTTAGTTCCTCGGCGATTAACCTGATTCAAAATCGATAAATTGCATATTTATCGAATTTGGTATTTTATCGCGCGGGCATTTAAAAGTATTAAATTTGCCAAGAATACTAAATAACGGAAAAAAAATTTGAATTTCATATTCAAAATACGCAATGCTGACAAAGTTAACAGAAAAATGAAATTATTGCCCAAAAAGCGAGCAGATTTTAAATAAAAATATTATTATAATTAGATAAATATTTAAAATATGAGTTAAAATTTCTGCTCGGATTATATTATAGCCAGCTAAAATCCGATCGCTGCTCATCTTTGACTTCATAATTTCAATAAATAGTAAAGTGAACAGTTTAAAAAATGTTTGTTAAAAGAATTGAAATCAACTTACTTGAGCTAAGATAAGGCACGTTCTATAAGTAAAACACAAGCTTGGTCGTGCGGCATGCTGCTGACTCAACAATATTATTGCGTTTGTGTTTATGCACTCACCCGCTTTGTTGTAGTCCTAATGGAAACCCCCACAAATGACGATATTTTATCTGCAAGCTATACCATTTTCGACTCAATCTGAACGGGCGACAATTGGCCGCAAGTCTCAGTTGCAAACTTATTATGGACGAGGCACCGCACGCACATGAGAAGCTCGTCGCAAAATCCAGTCGGCACAGCGATGACCCGGAAACGGGTCTCAGCACTCCCATCAGCACTCCCAGCAGCAGTTCCAGTGAGGCCAGCCTCGACAGCCACGACGACCCCATAGTAGCTGCAATGGGCAACGAGCAGAACGTGGAGCCAATCGAACCAGCTGCCAATCCATGTGCTCAGCCAAGAACCTTTCTTTTGGAGCCGCTGATTCTAATTCTGCTCTTCGCCTACAATTTCTCATGTGGGTTGCGCAAGATGTACAGGTTAAACATGTTAAAGCATATTATTCGTATATTTCAGCAACCATATTGAAATCTCAAATCATCTATCAGAGCTGCACGGCGGGTTTTGGTTATCCGGAAGCGGTCTGCAGCTTGCTGGGCACCAAAAACGCCAACAATGAGACCAAACGTATTGAAGCCGAGGTCCAGCCATATGCAGCGCGTGTATTCCTGACCATCAAGATCGTCGAGTGCATTGTTCCAGCCTTTTGTGGCTTGTTCGTGGGCGCCCTGGCGGATCGCTATGGACGCAAGCCCCTGTTGCTGGCTTCCTATTTGGGTGAGTCTGTCTGTTTGTTATCTTTGTGAGCTTTGTGAGCTTAACTCGCAGACAGAGATGCCTCTTCTTCTCTCTTGTAGATCATCTTCTAGTCGGACAAACTCAACTAGCTCACCCTTGTTATTCATTTATTTTCAATCTTTCTTCCAGGCTATGCACTGCAGTACATACTTTCAGCTTGCATTGCCTATCTGGCCATGCAGCTCAATGGCCTGGTCAGTCCTTGGTTCTATGTGATCACCATAATTCCACTCTCGTTGCTGGGCAGCAGCGTGACCTACTCCGTGGCCGCGGTTTGCTTCATAGGCGACGTCTCCACGGGCAAAATGAGATCCTACAGGTGATAAGCCCCTTACCTGTACCCTATATGCATATAAATCTGTGTGCTCTGCCAAACAGAATGATCGCCTACGAGCTGTGCATCTATGTGGGCTTACTGTTTGGCAGCTTTGCCTCTGGCTACGTTTACGAGGCGACCAATGCTTACATCATCTTTGTCATATCGGCCTGCTCCATATTATTTGCCCTGTTCCTGATGGCCGTCCTGCTGCCCGAGAGTCTGACCCAGCGGCAGCTGTCCGAGGGATTTGTGCTGCTGGATTTGTGGCGAAGCAGCGCGAGAGCACGCGAGCACAAGGATCGTTCCATACTGGTGCTGCTCATCTGTGTATTGCTGCTAACGGCATTTGTGTCTGGTGAGTGAAAAAAGGATTCACCTCACCCAGCGACATACGCTCAAACGAAGTTCGAGCTGCTCGAGCTGGCAACATGTTCGAGTTCGAAACGAAGTCGACTTAGCACGAGCCTCGCATTTTCGGGGCCTTGCCCCTCCAAAAAGGCTCTAGTGGCCCGTAAACCGATTTATTTCATTTCAGATGGCAGCAATTCGGTATTCTATATGTTTATGCGTGCCAAGTTCCATTGGACGGTGCGCGAGTTCACAAGCTACGAGTCGGTGAGCATTTTGGTGCCAGCCGTGGCTGGTTCCGGCGGCATATTGTTTCTATGGTCGCTGCGCCAGGTGGGATTTACAAATGATATAAATTATTTATATGTATCTTAAGATAATATTTGTTGTTGCCATTGCAGTGCAGCAAGTCGGCAATTCTGTGGCTGGCCCTCATCTCGCTGCTGAGTCATGCGGCGAGCAGTCTGATGAAAGCGTTCGCCTTCGTCGACTGGCAAATCTATCTGGCCATTGGCTTGGGCATATTCAAATCTCTGGTGAATCCCATGTGCCGCACCATGATAACGAACCTGTTGCCAGGCGAGGAGCGCGGTGCGTAAATCTATTAAAATTAATCTTTGAGGTACATTTATGGCTCATCACTCGATTGATTTACATTTGTATCTATATTTTCGTTTGTTTTAAATGTATCTTTGAGATACATTTGTATCTTGTCTCGTTCGTTTAAAATGTATCTTTGAGCACCTTTTGTATCTCTTCAGTTAAAATCTATCTTTCAGATACATTTGTATCTTTTCTTTGATTCATTCGAAATGTATCTTTGAGCTACATTTGTATCTGTTTCGTTCGTTTAAATTGTATCTTTGAGATACATTTATGTCTTTTCTTTCCTTCAGTTAAAATCTATCTTGCAGATACATTTGTATCTTTTCTTTGATTCATTTGAAATGTATCTTTGAGCTACATTTGTGTCTTTTCTTTCGTTTAGTTATCTTTTCAGTATCTTTCCTTAGATTTGTTTGAGTGTATTTTTGAGCTACATTTGTATCTTTTCTTTCGTTCCTCCAAAATGTGTCTTTTCTTTCGTTCGCTTGAAATGTATCTTTGAGCTACATTTGTATCTTTTCTTTCTCTTTTAAGGCAAAGTCTTTGCGATGCTTAGCGTGCTGCAGACGCTCTCCCCGTTCGCCTCCTCCACACTGTATATAATATTTTACACGCTCACATTGAGCAGTGCGCCGGGTTTGTTCAATCTAATCAGCGCCAATTTATTTGGACTCGCGATTATTTTGCTGCTGTGCGTGTCCAATTTGTTAATAGATTTATGCAAATATTATTATGCTAAATAATCGTTCTTGTTTATTACTTTCAGCGTGGTCTGGCGCAAGAAAGCCTCGCATCCCGCACACTACGAACCCATTTTCAAGTGATATCTCAACCATAAAGCTGATATTAAGCAAAAAAGAAAAGAAAGAACTGAATTCGCCAGTCATTCGGCAAATTCGCACATCAATTATACAAATTGGCTAATATGCCATATACAAATATCTATTTACGTATTTGCACATTATAAACAAAAAAAAAACCACCAACCAATGTGTGAAGTCTAGATGTGTACTTAAAGGGGGAGTTTTTTATTGACCAACATTCGGTACCATAAAAAAGCGGACACACAGGCAAATAACATGTGTAATTGCGCTTGCCATTTGCCACATTTTACATTAATTTAAAAAAAAATCGAAATATTACTAAACAATTTTCGATTCGACTTCAGATATGGGTTAATATAACAGCACGCTTCGACGGGCTGCTACTCTGTTAATTTCCAGGCAACGGCGTGTGCGCAGTCACTTGACAAACTCTTCCAATGCAAATACATATATATATATATATATATATATATATATGTGGATGGATGGGCATGAAAACAAATAAATATAAATATAATAAACACAAATAAATAAACTTCCCAGCAAACTGAGTGGTGTTAACTTCATGTTAAATTGAGCGCTAATTTCATTTGCTAATTTTAAATTAGATGTTTTTTTTTGCACCCTTGATTTAAAAGAATAATGTTCAGTTCGACATTTGATTAATTATCTAGATGCTACCCCTAGCACGGCCTGTTTCAGCTACGATTGGGAGTTTATTTATATAATATATATATATATATTGTTAAAAGCAGTTGTTTTTAATCTAAACAGTCAGCATTAGTCGTTGTTAAATGGCATTTGTTAAGAGTTTTATTTGCGATGGAACCCTCCTGCGGGCCTTGGCTTTGGCGCGTGCGAACTGCACGAACTGGCCGAAAAGAAAACGAAACAAACAAACTGAGGCTTAGCAGAGTTTCTGGGCCTAGACAAGCGACAGGTGCTGCAGGTGATAAGGCGGGACGGCGGGGAAAATACTTATTTAAGCCGTCAACGCAGTGAAATCGAATTTAAACGAATCGGAAACGTTGCCGTCGCCGTATCAAGCTGCTGTTCGGGGTCCAACAACAGACCCAACCATAACTCAATAGTCGGGAACGGAATTTTTCTGAGCAACAACAGACATCGCAGTACACGCGATATACAAAAATATATATATACATATGCGCATATATCGAAAATCTACAACTAGAACATTGGATTTTTGATGAACAAGTGTTGTGGAATATTTCTGTGCTGCTTTAGTTTTAGTTCTATTTGACGTGGGTTTTCCTTCCGTTTTTTTTCCGTTTTACCTTTGTGGCCGCATATATAAACGCTCGGACTTAACGTTAGAGGCTCATTTCGAGAATCCAACTCCGATTGTAAATAGTTGTCGCGCCGGGCTTCATATTAAACGGCAAAGCATCCAGCCCGATATGACAGTTAATGCTGTGTACATAAGTGTATAAATGTATATAAGTGTATAGCGTATACGTAATTTGAATTAGGCTGTGACGTGCTCATTGTGATAAGTTGCTGTTTGTGTGCGCCTCTTGCCATTGTTTAAAGTTTTGCCAGCATCTAATTAATAAACATATAATGTAACTACGCGGAATTGGCTGAGGTCTTGATTCCGTTGAACTTGCAAACAAAATATTAAACCAGTATTTGATTCGCGACTTGCGGCTGACAATTCGAATTCTAAAAGCTGCCCAAAATGGTCGAAAAAGTCGCACACATCTTGACACTGAAGCGTCTTCGCAGTTTCCAATGGCATCGCATCTTTCATATGTTCTACATCGAACCGGTCGTCTTTATGCTCTTATTTTCGCTCACATTGTCCAGTAAGTGCTTCAAATTAGCATTATTTATATGCATTAGCTATTCCGCAGTGTTATTCCCCAGATACCATCCTGAGGAACCAGATCATCTACCAGACCTGTACGGTGATCTTTCGCTACAATGTCAGCGACTGCAAATTGCTGGACGATAAAAATGCCAGCGCCGAGATAAAGGTTCGCACATCCAAAGCTCGAGCTTACGTTTAGCTACGTTTTAAGAAGCATTCAGCTATAATCTGTGCTAAGCAAGCTAATTCAGCTATTTTCAGCTAGTTTTTTGGCAACACTGTCGTCTTTAGGTATATTAGGTACTATATCGTATAATTTTACAGGCAATTGAAACGGAACTGCAGCCATATGTGGCAAATCTATTTCTATCGCGCACGCTGCTGGAGAGCATTGTTCCCGCTTTTTGTGGCCTCTTTATTGGCTCCTGGTCGGATCATTATGGACGCAAGCCGCTGCTCACAGTATCGATGATAGGTACATATCAACTATATACATATATACTATGTGTGTGCAGTGTAATTCAATAGCCTGTTTAGGTTTTGCCCTCTCGTTTCTGGTCACATCGGCCATTTGCGAGCTGTCCAGCTATTACGTGATCAATCCCTGGTGGTATATTGCGGCCGCGGTGCCGCATTCTCTGCTCGGCGGCAATTGTGTCTTCTCCGTGGCGGCCCTGTGCTTCATCTCGGACATAACGGATACCAAGACGCGTCCTTATCGGTAGGTTACAAGTAGGAAAGCCCTGCAAAGAGTTAGCCAAAACGCGTCACGAACAATTAGATCGAGCCGATCGAGTCGATCGAACTGTTCAAGCTCGAACATGTTGCTGTCGCGAGTAGCTCGAACTTCGTTTGAACAAATACATTTTAAGGCAAATGAATTAACCGCTGCTGAGCTCTTTAAAAGACCATAGTCTTTGACAAGGTTGAAGCTAATCCAAAGTTTTTTATCCCAGCATGATCTTCATGGAGTCGCTGTTCTTCATTGGGCTCACAAGCGGCTCGCTGTTGTCTAGTTTCGTTTATGCGGCAACCAATGCGGCCACGACCATTGGCATCTCGGGTTGCATAACCACATTGGGCACACTCTTTGTCATATTCTTTGTGCCGGAGAGCCTGCATATACGGCAGACGCAAGAGGCCAAAGAGGCTGCCGCAGCCGCAACCAGCGGCGAGAAGGAGATGCCCATTACGGCGTCTGATCTGCAGCCGGAATGCATGTCCATTGACTGTCCGCCCATCTTGATGAATCCCGATTTCGAGTCAGAACAGAAGAAACATGTCCATCAGCTGCCCACACCGGCCACGCCCAACATGACATTCGATGAGGATCTGCTGGCGAAATATGTGGAACAGCTGCCGCCCAAGGTAAAGGCCAGAGCACAAGCCCAGTCCAAGCAGCAGCCGGATGCCAAAAAGGCTGGCCTCTTCAGCTTTTCACACATCCGCGAGATGGTTAACACCTGCACCAAGCCACGTGAGAATCATGCGCGCGCAATTATTTGGCTAGTCACATTGGCCATGTGCCTGTCCATCTTTGTCTTTGGTAAGTTGAACAGGACTCATTTGAAAATAACTAAAAAACAAGGTATATTGCTGTTGTATATACAGAGAGGAAGTAGAAAGTAGCTTAAATTGAATTCCAATTCCAAACGAAGCACAGCAATTGAAAGCTGACTACAGGGTAGCGACTAGTCGGTCACATTAAATAACTCTCTGCTCTTTTCAGACGGCGTCATGACGGTCATGTATTTGTTTGTGCGCGAAAAGTTCCACTGGTCCGTGCGAGATTACACATTCTACGAGACGGTTAGCCACCTGGTGCCCATGGTGGGTGCACTCATCGGATTTCTGATACTGCGCAAGGTGGGCTATACTATATATGGTGTATAATTGGGATGATCTTAGAGGTTAAGTATATTTGCAGATTTTTCGCCTGTCGGTGGTCACACTGGCGATGCTCGCGTTCGCCTCGGAAATACTCAAGAATATGGCCAGGGGCTTTTCGACGCAGCCCTGGCACATGTACCTGTCCGTCGTCTTGGGCGTCTTTCGGTCCATTGGCGGGCCCATGTGCCGCACCATTGTCTCAAATATAGTACCTGCCTCAGATTTGGGTGAGTTTTCGATTAATTTGTATGATTTGGCGTTTTCTAGTAATTAATTGACTGGCTTTCGCGTTGTTTTGCAGGAAAAATTTTCTCAATTAAAAATGTTTTGCAATCGTTTGCACCTTTCGGTAAGGACTAACAGGTCCAGCTTTTAATTATTGTTAATTAATTTCGATTTTGCGCTTCCAGTGGCCGCACCGCTCTACACGTTCATCTACAAGTGCTCGCTGGGTTATTATCCGGGTCTCTTTAACTTTGTCAGCGCGGGCCTGTATCTCATGTCGTTCATATTTATCGGGTAAGTTGCGCCGATTCTGGGCCGATTTGTGTACGCCTTAATGCTAATTGTTGAAACATTTCTGCAGCTGTGTGCTACGCATTAAGTTTATGCATCAAGAATACTACGCCAAGGTGCTAAAATAAGACAAACAACCGTTCCGATGTGATCCGCTTATGTAGTACATCCCATTAGCCTAGTATTTATGACTAATTGTATTTAATCGTGTGTGTGATGTGGTTGCCCAAAGCGCCGTTTCTCTAATAAGAAATAAACTTAACGAGTAGTTTGAAACTAGAAAAAAACAAACAAATAATACAAACAGATCTCAAAGACACCCTTTCTGATGGTGTGTGATGTGTGCACATTTATATTATTTGTATCGACAGCTCATTTGAATTGTGCGTGTTTAACTGCCAGGGCTGCACGTTTACATTATTTAAAGCCCTTTTGAATTGCGTGTGTTTAACTGTCAGGGTTGCACGTTTACATTATTTAAATCGACAGCCCTTTTGAATTGTGTGTGTTTAACTGTCAGGGCTGCAAGCTAACATTTTGAACTAGCTCTTCGCCTTTGTGAACCCGGCTTTGGTTAAAAGTTTCAAAATTGTTATGAAATAATTCAGTTTTAAATTTATTGCCCGTTCTACTGAAAATATTGCAAATCATTTAATATTTTCATATAGAAATTGCGGGCCACATTTTAAATGTCTGTTTTTTTGATGAGTACAAAGCAGATGTGCATATAGAAATTACGGCCCAAGCTAATAATGCTTTGGTACTGGTTCTCCTTAACTGGTTCTGGTTACGGTTCGGCATATATATATATATATATATATATATATATAAACCAGTTTAATGTCTTTTAAAGGGTTATATCATACATACAAATGAAAATGCAGTTGTTTTTATTTAATTTTAGTTGCTCTGTATAATTTGATTGGTGTCATTCCCTATAATATTATATGTATATATGTTCAGTTTATAAAAACTCTATATGTATTTACACTGTCAGTTCCGATGGGCAGTTACAAATAGACTGAAAAACAATGTACAATAACAATTACAATTAGGTTTCGAACAAAAAAGATAAATATCATGATAATACTTTACACACTGATATAAAAACTGATTCTATATACTGTACAAAAAAACTGTCTAGGCATCACAAATAGCAAGTCG